TTTTATACCTGTTGTTATTTCAGAGGTAATTCTAAAGCCTTCATTGCCTCGGTTATCGGAAGAAGTAGAGGCTGGATTAGCCGTGAGTCTAGTTTGGCCTATCACACTTCCCATCACACACATACATACATACAGCATTAAACGATCGTACGCTAGTTTTTGGTTTAATGAAGCAGCTGTCCCTCAAACGCATTTCCTGTAAGGTAAATTAACTTTACTCATTTGCAATCATGTGAAGTTAGGTCGAAGTAGCCAACCAAATTAGGGGAGACCTCATTAAGATCGCGAGATTAGGTGTATAAAAAAGTGACTAGGACTGCAGCTGGCCACCTTCTTATCTTGGTTTAGCATATTTTTGCACTATTTCGTAAAGTATGGAATCTTGTTCTGATGATGTCTGTCACGGTGGTACAGACGAAAACTTAGCACAGTTTCATCGGCGCCGCAAGATGATGAGCCGAGCACTTCTTCGCACAATTCAACAGTCTTCCTTACGCGATAATACTTTTTCGCTTTCCGATGAGACCACATCAGGAATTCCTTCCAACCAAATTTTCCTTCGAAATGGAGAGTCAGGCCATAATATTGCATTAAGGAATTCTTCAAAGCCCAATTTTCGACAAAATCCTTTTTCTTTATTTCTATTTTTCATCATTTGTATTATCTCTCTCTTTTATCAAAAGTTTCATAATCATATTAATTTATTTTATTTTATTTTTTTCTTGTTCTTAATATTTTTTTCCTCTCAATTATACGGCCTACCCTTCCTTTTAATTTTACTTGCTTTAAACTCACTTTATCTATTACAAATATTTTTTTCATTTCCTTTTTATATCAAGTGCTATTCTTTCGTACTAGTTAGCCTAGATTTTATCCGTTTTCAAATGGTAACTTTTTGGAAAAAAATTTTATTCCTGTCAGTCATTAGCTAAATATTTAATTTCTAGTTGTCGTGCTGCCTACTTTTTGATTATTTTTAAATCAATTAGTAAGAATATTTAATTTTTTCACTTACCTTCACCTTGACATGCATTCTCTCCCTTTTCGCTCCTTAGATTCTACATTATACATGCTATTAACTTCTCCTATCAGTTTGCTCTTAGGCTTTATGATAAAACTCTGTCTCCATAAAATACTGTGAAGTATCATTCAGCTCTTGAATTTGTTGGACAGAGGAGAGAATGTTTGGATGTCGGGGCCGCATTTTGCGCTTGACACTAAAACGGCCCTTTGATCTGCCTGGCCATGTCAAATTTTACCTCAAAATCCTGCCTTCTCTTCACATCTTCGCCAGCATACACGCTTTCCATAAACACAAATTCACTCGGAACTGAGCTCTTGGATGCCATGGTCTACGTGATGTTTTATCATGGGCCACAAGTATTTGCACAAATCTGACGGCCTCTTTCAGAAGGTCAATCTACCGAAATTGAGCGACATCGTGCAGATTTCTCTGTCACTAACAGTTGTCAACCAAAAAGTTATTCATTACTATGAATCGGCCAACCACACCTGCTCGCTCCACCACGTCCACAAATGCAAATTGTTGTCAGCATTACAAGCGTCTTGATTTCGTTGGTAGTCGGGTGACCATCGTGAGTGGCAATCTACCCTCCGGGACCGGGAGCTCTGCATGCGTCTGCACTTGCCCTGAGAAAAGTATTGCCACAGTGATTGCAGATGGCCTGCTAAAAAAGAGGGACACAATCCGGAGCTGCCTCCTGTCGATAAAGCTTAAATTGACTTCATAGCACATCCTTGCGTCTGAACTCACTCTCTGTCCATCGGCCTGTATCTTCTTCTCTCTTGCTTAAGCAGACTTTATGTCTACTCCCTATTTAATATTCTATTCATCGATTAAAGAAGATACAATTTGTTTAATTTTTACTTGTGCCTGCAGGGTTATTCACGACCTTAGGAGAAAAACTAAAATCAACTTGAAAGCATGCCTTTGGGATTATCATGCACTTTTTTTTGCGAACTAAAACATTTCACTAAACATTTATTGATATTGATTGTAGCTGAAAGACCAATCATTTTGATGATCACAATTGAAAATTACGGAATAAGGGATATAATGTGAAGTCATAGGATGTAGAGCATGGTTGGCATGGTGATTTTGGTCAAGTAGCTCAAAGTGAATTATGTTAAATTAGGTAGTTCGACTAAGTCAGCAATACTCTTCCTCCACTTTGAAGCTGTTAATGTACTCGAGTTTAGACTTTGTGTATAAAGCAGAGTAAAATAAAGAAATTCAGGCAGTATAGGCATACACATTTGTAATATGGAACGGACAA